GTAGTCCGACAACAGAGAAAAGTGCGGTCACAATATATATATATAATTTACCAGGTTATTAAATATAACATTTTAAATTCTAGAATTCAGTGATAATGAATCAAAAATTACTACAAATAAAAAAAAGGTGCAACCGAGCAAAAAATCAAAAGGTATAAATTATACTTTTCTTAATTATTTATATATAATACTTCTATCATTTTAATAATATATATTAATTAAGTGTAACGAATATACAGGAATAATAATAAAATCAATAGAAACAATATCAAAACCCTTATCAATGCCCTTAACAAAAGAACAAAATACAGGAGATGAAAACATAGAACGTAAGTAATATAATTAAATCATAAATATAATATACTACAATATTATAAGTAATACTATGTATAAACTTTTTAATTATAATAATTTGTTTGTAGATATCAATTTAATAATAAAAAAGTTAGAAACTTTAAAATATAATACACGAAAATTGCAAAATTCACAAGTAGGTATTAATAAATTGGATTAAATTTTATCAAATAATGGGAATTTCATCAATATAAATAAAGAAAATATTTTTTATAAAAATAACATACACTTACCTCTAAGAACAATGGATGAATTTAATACATTTTGTAATATTTTTGGAAGAAAACAAAGAATGTCAACATTTTTTTGTAAGTGTATAATAGTAAATAATTAGTAAATATATTTTAATTTATTTGTAAATTTATAGTAAATTAAATCGTTTATTTCCAGGTAAACACTATCAAAATTTTAATAGATAATAATTTAACTTTATCAAGAAACATTGTTGCTGTTTTAAGGAAATTTTTTGAACAAACTCTTATTCTACAATTTACTGCTGTAAAAGCAGTTAAGAATAAATACATTTTTGCCGAGACGTCATTTTATGAACAATTGTTTCGTATGTATATTAAAAATATGTATATATGTAATGTGTATATATAATACATGTATTTGTATATATGATCATATTAATATTTTAAATTAAAAAGGTATATATATATATATATACATATATACATATATATATATACCTTTTTAATTTAAAATATTAATATGATAGTAAATATATAATCATATTAATATTTTAAATTAAAAAGGTATATATATATATACATATATACATATATATATATATCTTTTTAATTTAAAATATTAATATGATTATATATTTACTATGATCTATTATTTACTGATCCGTCTGACCTGGCTAGTTTTTGACTAGTTGTTGACTAATTTTTCTACCAAAAATTTCTAACCACTTATTGGCTAGTACCCTGGTAGAAATGTCCTTGGCAGCGCCAAGATACTGGCCAGCGCCATGCTATTTTGCCACGCCATAACCATTTGAAAAAATGTGGCATGGCTCACAAAAGGCCCAGTCAGGCGTCTGATATGGGCCTGATGTGGAAATGGCTTGGCATTTACAATAAAATTTATGAAAAAATCTAACATGGTCCACAACAAATCCAGTCTCGCGTCTGATATGGATTTGATATGGAAACGGCTTGGCATTCATAGAAAAATTTATGAAAAAGTATGACATGGCCCACAATAAACCCAGACTTGCGCCTCATATATGGATTTGATAAGGATCTTTGTCTGTTTCCTAGCTAGCGTACCCGTTAAATTTTACCGTGAATACAGCTATTTTCATATAAGGCGCGAGCCTGAATTTGTTGTGGACCATGTCAGACATTTTCACAAATTTTATTAAAAATATCAAGCCGTTTCCATATCAGGTCCATATCAGACGCAAGACTGCACAGGGTTTCTTGTAGGTTAGATTTTTTCCAGTGTCTTTATTATAGCTGTCATAGTTCAGTTGCTTCTTTAACCTACGAGTGTGTGCCGCCTATCTTTAAGACACGGTTATTCGCAAAACATTTCACAATGGAATCTAAACTGAAAGCAAATTTCCGAGCGCAAAAGTATCGGCAGATTAAAAAATTTAAATGTGATTATCTAAATAAAGTGTATACGTGTGATATATCCAGTTGTAGTGATACAAATAGTATTGATATTGATTATTCAGACAAAAACGTACAAGCAGTAATGAGTCTCAGACAAGAACGTGCAAGCAATAATGAGCCTTCTGGTCCCGATGATAATGTAACATTAAGACAATCATGGATTGATTGTGATGCAAACTCTTCGAAAAGTGAAAGTGAACAGCCTAACATTAATGATAGTGATGGTAATGATAGTGATAGTAATGGTGTTGATGCGCTTGATATTGCCATCGATGAAGAAGAAGAAGAAGAAGACATAAATAAACTTCGTATGTGGGCTATTGAATGTCAGATTCCTTTAGTACATTTGGATAAATTATTAAATATTCTTCAACGAAGAGTTCTGCCTTCATTACCAAAGTCGTCGAAAACGTTTTTAAACTCCAACACAGTTTCATATGAAATAAGTAAAATGGAAGACTGCGATAAAAATACAAGTGGTGAATACTTATATTTTGGAGTCGAACAAGGTTTGAAATCCTGCGTAAACACTGAACTACATTCAGAAAACATTCTGGAATTGCAAATAAATATTGACGGTATGAAGATATTTAAATCTAGTATAAAGACGATGTGGCCCATTTTAGTAAAAGTACACTTTCAGCCGGATATTTATAAACCGTTTATAGCTGCTGCATATGTAGGAAACAGTAAACCAAAATCGGTAAACTTATTTTTGAAAGATTTTATCATAGAAATCAATCAACTTTTAAACAGAGGTCTAATGATAAATAATCAACATTTTAACGTAAAAATAAAGTGTTTTATTTGCGATACGCCTGCCAGGTCATACTTGAAATGTATCAAAGGTCATAATTCAAAGTATGGTTGCGAGCGGTGCTTGGTAGAACGCCGAACAAACGATAATACAGCATCATATTTGGATATAAATTGTCGTGAAAGGACAAATGAAAATTTCAGAAACTTTTCTGATGTGGAACATCATACCGCAGCATCACCTTTAATATTAATAAATTCGTCAATTAATATGGTTACTGATTTTGTTCTCGACTCAATGCACTTAATTTATCTTGGAGTAATGAAACGATTAATTGATTTTTGGATGTCAAATGACTTAAAAGTACGATTAAGTAGCGAGCAGAAAAATTTATTATCGAAGCGAATGGAAAGAATAAGATATCAGCAACCTAACGAATTTCATCGTAAGATTAGAACTATGGAGCACTACAATAAATTTAAAGCTACAGAATATAGATTTATTTTGCTCTTTGCTGGACCTATAATACTAAAAAATATTTTGGATGAAAATAAATACAAGCATTTTATGTTGTTACATGTAGCTTGTCGATTGTTGTCACTGGAAAATGCTTGTGAACAATTAATTATGCAAAGACGTTACTTTTAAAGTTTGTAGTATTAAGTGAAAAACTGTATGGTCCACAATTTGTTGTTAGCAATGTTCATAGCTTATCGCATCTTTCAGATGATGTAACAAATATGAACTGTGGCTTAAGTTTTATAAATTCATTTCCCTTTGAATCGTATTTAGGGCAAATAAAAAATATTATAAGATCACCTTATAATGTTTTGGCGCAGCTAGCTCGAAGGCTGAATGAAATAGATTTGTATCGAAACCAAAAGCCTTCGTTCCCATCAATTCGTATTTTAAAGAAAAGTGGAAGTGACATACAAAAGTTACAGTATAAAACAATATTAATTACAACAAAATCACCAAATAATATGATTCTCTTAAAACACAAGAAGATATGCGAAATTACTAGAATTTTTACAAAAAATGAAGATATTTTACTCGAAATTAAGCATTGAGAAATAAAAAAGGATCTCTACATTTATCCCTGCAATTCAAGTAACTTAAACACATATGAATTACGGCCACAAGCTTCAAAAGAGAAAAGACTTATTTATTTAGAAGAAATTAAACATAAATTGATAAAATTATCTATTTTGGATGAAATAAATACGGAAAGAATTTTTGTAATTCCATTTTTACATTAAATGTACATTGTATTTTGTACATATATCAAATTGTACATATATAAAATTTCAAAAACGCTATCAGTATGGCTGATATGTAACGTTTCGATATAGACATCAAACGAAATCGATATCGATTATTGAATATATAAAATCGATTATAGAATATAAATCGTAAGCGCTGGAAACGACAAATAATTGAATATCAAGAATAATTCAGGAGGCAGAACTTCCAACTAACCTCTATTTTTGCAAGCGTGGAAAGCAGCAATAAGTTGAGGCATAAGACACACGAATTCATAAAATTACGACAAAAAGTACATCGTAAGTATTATTAAATTTTTATACTTATTTTTGTTAAAATACAAAAAATATTCTTCAAGTTAAATTTATCAAAAATATTTTTCTTAACCTCAAATTTGTACATAAATTTTGTCAAAACCAATGAATGCGTTCAATTGAAAATAATATGTAATATTCAATAATTCTTAATTACAACTACATTTTTAGAAAATAGATTTTAAGAGAGGTCAGCTTATTAGATAATAGGACACCTGCGCTGCTCGACAACGTGTCTATGTCGATAGTCAACAAGAATTATCCTGGCTATAATGGGAAAAGTTCTTGTACGTTCTATTTAATAATTGAAAGAAGTTTTTAAGTTTTAAATCGAGTTTCAATAGACAAAAATCGTAGATCTGTTTGCCATACTTAATTGTATGCACCAGTCTTCGCGTCGGAGGATAGTGTTAATACTACTACACACATAGTAGTACGACTCGAAGCTTAATATTTTTTTTCAACGTTCTTACTCAGCAATATAAAAACTTTCCCAATTGCAGCCAACAAGTTTTCATTCACTTGACATTGATTTCTTATTGAGCAGTATAGGTATCTTACTGTGTAATAACCTGAAACATAAATTTATTATTTACCAATTAATATATTTTATTCGATTAAGATAAATAATATTTAATATTTCTTACAATTATATTATGTTTTTAGAAAAATTATTTAAAGATGTCCGACAGCGATAGTGAAGTTGAGGAAACTGAGCAGGAAATGAAATACCGGTTTAAGATAGTAAAATTTATTAAAAGAGGAAGAAAGGGATCGAAGAAGGAAATAGATATTGTCCCTGCAGAATGGATACATTGGGACAATAAAACGAAAAGATTAAAAGTACCATTTCTACCTACTCCATATACTAATGAAGACATTAAGGAACTTCATAAAATCGTTAAATCAGAATGTGAAGCACCAGAGTCATGGCCTTTATATAACGTCGACATTATTGGCGAATCAAGTATGAACATCAGTTTCATAAATTTATAAGTTTGAATTGATTGATTATATATTGAAATTTTATTTGTTAATTACATACTTCACTAAAATCATTATTCAGGGACATATACAGACGCAGTCAGTCGACTCTTACTTCTCGAGAAGACAGATACGGCTTTCTCTCAGGATTCGGAAGATGATACAGAAAAAATTAAGAGAGCGGAGATTGCATACAGACAGAAAACATTTAAAAAAAGTGAGGAAGAAATAAAAAAATTATTTTCTGACGTTCCATCATTTCAAAAAGAAACTTGTAGTCGTTCAGGTATGTGCTATATTTTAAAATACACAATAATAATATTTATTTAAATAACATCTTCGGATTCTTTTTTTAAACTGTAACATTAAAAGATTTGTCCCATAGAGCCAAGAAGGCGCATATAATTATTTAGAAACTTTCAGACTTTGTTATGAAAAAATATACTAGATAATGCTTTATGAAATAATCATTTTATGCTTCAGATTATTTCTTCATATTATTACAATATTTAAGCTGCCTGACACCACAGTCAATGTCGATAATCAATAAGAACTGTTGTTGCTAATAAGGAGTGACCGACATTGATGCAACAGCTGCAAATAAAACAGTTCTTTAATATCTTATTTAATAATTGAAAAAAGTTTGAACCTCGAATTTATTTTTAATGAACAAAAGTCTTGGATCTGTTTTATACTCACACATGCCAATATTTGAGACGGAAAACTACATCTATAGTATAGCTCAAGGCTTAACATTTTAAAGGCTAGTCATTTTGACTTTTGTCCATTACGACTCTACTCAAGGTTAAAATCTTTTTAAATTTTTAATTAGATTTTTATTGGCCAACAAAAAACTTTTTCAATTGTAGCCATCTCAATAACTCCAGCTTAACATGTTGTCGGGCAGCGTAAATGTTCAAATGTCTATAATATATAACTTAAAAATTATCTGAAACGTAATTTTATTAATTTCGATATTTTACAAGATTAAGATTCTAGATATTAATAATTACATGTATATTTAAAATATATTTAGGCAGCTCCAATTCAAATACGAAGCCTCCAAAAGAGAAATCAAAAAATTATGATAGTACGAGTTCAAAAACACACAAAAGTAAGATACTTGATTGATAAAATAGAGTGCATGAAATTTAATATCAAATTTTATGATAAAATTAATTTTTCTAAAGATTTTTGAAGATTTGTTTGTACAATTTAATACAAATAAAACTCATCTAAATATGTGTAAATAAATGTAATTTGTAAAAAATTAACCTAATATGTAAGTTGAATGTTGAGATCTATTTTAATTTTTTGCTTTATGAATTTTTTACTTTTAAAGTATTTTTTCTAATGTCAATTTTTTTATAATCTCATAAGTAAAATATGAAAAAAACAAAATTTTAGTGTTTTCATTAGGGTATCAAGATTACGTATTTTAAGTTTCAATTCTATCTGTGAAAATCTTCATAAGAAGACTGGACTATTGATCAATGAAAAATGGTAAAATCTTAATATATCTCAAAATTCAATTTATGAATGAGGCTAATTTTTTGTGAATTACTTTTGTCTGCACATAATTATATAAGTTTTTTTTAACTGTTTAATACAAACAGTTTTTATTTAGTTTTTTCACATTATGCCTGTCCTTGGAAGTAACGTAAATGTAATTATAATTATATACTTTATAAACGTATTATTAAACCTATTATATTGTATATATTTTAACATTTTAAAAATGTTCAGTCAGAGATATGTGACTGAATCTGACGCTCATTTTGTTCAAGTCTGATTTAACATTAATATTAATTTTGATTTTATACGTATTTATTTTATTATATCTGTTTTATTTTTATCATTACATATTGCTGCAATTAATAAATTTATTATTATTATTATTGTTATTATATCTAATTACTATTTTTTTACTTCAGCTTATGAATGTGCCAGAAAATCCTTAAATAAACCAAAGGAGAATTTAATTGAACAGACTGCCGACAAAGAAAACTCTTCTATGACAGATTTGGATAGTAAGATCTTTTTAGCGTTTTCATAACTTTAATTTAACATTACTAATTTTTATTATTATATATATACAATCAATTAATACACAACAATTATTATATATATACAATTATTATATATATACAATTATATATATATTATTATATATATACAATCATTATTATTAATTACTGTTTCATTTGTTTTAGTTAATAATGAATTAGTCCAAAATCCCTCCAATATTCTGGAAGAAAATCTAATTGAACTAACTACAGAAAAAAAAAATTTTACTGTGATGGACTTATGGAATGGTAATATAGATGTATTCCTTTATTAAGTAAAGACTAATGGGTCCAAAACTCATGTACTGGAGTGAAAAGAGCATTGGATTAATCTTTTTTCGAACTAAATGATAAAATATTTGGAAACATATTTTAGATGATCACCTTCTTTCTGATAAATCTTTGGAAATCATACTTGAATAAAATTTATCACAATATTATATAAAAAATTATAATTAAGATATCACTAAATCATGATACGTATAATATATTAACAATTTATAAAATTTTATAGCAAAACCTATTTAGTATTTAATTATTTATTTCGCAGATATAATATTAAAAATAACACATGCAATCAGAAATGGAAGATGTTGTCTCTTATACACATCTCTGAGCGGGCTGGCAAGGC